GCGAGAAGAGGGAATCTATGGAGGGATGATAAGGGCGATGGGCAGATGTAGGACGATGGGTTGAAGGAAACGTTGCGAACTACCGTTTCCTGTCACGTTGGCAGCGGGGATGAACTCAACATCAGTCACCGATGAGAAATCGCGCAGCGCGAAGGATCGAAGGATGAGGAAAAACGAACGCATTGCCATCATCCGTTTTTGCCTTGGGCGAGGCCGGGGAGAGAATGAGTGGAGAGGAGCAGGGGAAAGGAGGAGGGATAGCGGATGACGGTGATGATGATGATGAGGATGATGATGTTGATGTTTAAGATTATTGTGTTGATGGTGATTATGGTGTTGATGATGTGGTTGATGGCGGTGATGTTGTTGATGCTGATTTTACTGGTGATCATCATCCTGGCGGCGATGACGACGACGATGACGACGATGTTGGTGTCCACAAAGTTGAGACGGATGGTGACGACGACAATGATGGTTATACTGATGGTGATTATGATGGTTGTGCTGGTGATGATGGTGGTGGTAATAATGGTAACCAAGATGGTACTAATGATGATGCTGATGATGGTGAGGATGATGCTGCTGATGATGATGACCACGCTGATAATGAACATGATTATGATTATGATGACGACGACGACGACGACGACGACGATGATGATGATGATGATGATGATGATGATGATGATGATGATGATGATGGCAATGATGATGATGCTGATGATGCTGATGATGCTGATGATGCTGATGATGCTGATGATGATGATGATGGTGATGCTGATGATGATGATGATAATGATGATGATGATGATGATGATGGTGGTGGTGATGATGATGATGATGATGATGACGATGATGATGATGATGATGATGATGATGATGATGATGATGATGATGATGATGATGATGATGATGCGGAGGAGGAGGAGGAGGAGGAGGAGGAGGAGGAGGAGGAGGAGGAGGAGGAAGCGAGAGTGCCTCGCGCTTCTTCCTCCTGCAATTCACCCCTTCGAGCACGGATGGGGCGATGATAAGGCGGAACATGGAGGATGGAGGATGGAGGATGTGGAGGAGGGAGGAGAAAGGACGAGCGCATGGCCCTCTTCCTCCTCTCCCCCACGTCCTGCACATCCTCTCCTTCGGTTAGGAAGGGGGCACGGATGGTTCGGACTCGGTATTGCAGCAGTTTGCACGTCGTCGTGAAGCTCTCATCCCGAGAGTTGGCAAACATGGGGGCAAGGAGGGAGTGAGCAACGCAAGGTGCGAGCAAGTGGGAAGCCACATTCAGCGTTGCACGACGCGGACATGGTGCGATGGTCTCCTGAGGGCAGGTGTAAGTTGGCCTGGAGAAACCAATCGACAACATAGCAACGTGCCAATATAATGTCAGTGCCAGATATCGAGAATGAGCGCTCGACCACATGTGTGCTAAGCCAACTTCACACCAAGACGTCCAGAATTGCCAACTATTGTGCACATTGCGGGCGCTTCCTGGGCACGTGACTTCTGGTTATCGGGCTTAAGGCGACCGTCGCGTGCGGATAGGCCCGTACACCCAACCTCGCCATCGGGTGACCATGATGGTCTGGCATATGCCGGGCAATAGTTGTCACGGGTATCGCTGGCAAGGAAACATTCGATGTACATTGTTATGGCTCCAGGCTGGGTAAGGATAGAGGGGGGAAGAGGTGGGATGGCGGCGAGGGAAGGAGGGCGATGAGGGAGGAGGAGGAGGAGGAGGAGGAGGAGGAGGAGGAGGAGGAGGAGGAGGGGGAGGAGAAGGAGGGGGAGGAGAGGAGGAGGAGTTGGAGGATGAGGCGGAGGGGCAGGGAGAGCGGGAGGAGGAGGAGGCCACGACGTACCAACCTTGCCGCCATGCAGGGAGCTATGGCGGAGGGCAGCTTGTCTGTCTTTGCGCAGCAGCTGGGGCGGTGGAGGAGGCGGGCAGGAAGAGAAGGATGGCAATAGGGAGGAGGGGCGATTGGGGAAGGGGGAGGAGAGAGGATGTGCATGTGTGCGTATATCGCGAGCTACCACGCTGGTCATTGACATGTTTGGTTAACACGGACATACCATGTTTGGGCATTTCTTGTCAACCCACCAGACGGACATCGTTAACACGTCGCATCGCCAATGCCGTTGCCCTGCTGGATCTCCCTGCCGCAGCGCTCAAGCCTTTTGCTCAATCTTGTGCTTCTTGAGCAGCATGGCGACGACGTGGACATACCATCTCAGACTCCCATGGCTGTGGCACGCGATTGTGAGGATACCACTGCTCCTCTTGATGTGTTCAGCGATGTTGGGAGGGACGCGGAGGAGAAGGATACGTATGCTTCCAGCGGTGGCGACAGATGGGTCACAGCGAGTGCCTTCGTTCAGGTACGTAGCTAGAGAGCCAGTGCCTGACTCATGTTGCACGTCTTTGCAACAGGCAGAGGTTTTTGTTATAGCGGTTTCTTTGCAGCGGCTGATCTATATATATATATATATATATATACATACATACATACATACATACACTCATACATACATACATACATACATACATACATGCATGCATGCATACATAGAGGAAGAAAGAGAGAGAGAGAGAGAGAGAGAGAAAGCGAGAGAGAAAGAGAAAGAGAGCGAAAGAGCGTGATATAGGGTGAGAGAGAGAGAGAGAGAGAAATAAACAAAGAGAGAGAGAGAGAGAGAGAGCGAGAGAGAGAGGGAGGAAGAGAGAGAGAGAGAGAGCGATCTAGAGAGAGAGAGAGAGACAACGATGACGACATACATATAGGTGTATACGGTCGGGAACTTTTAGATAACGTGTCACTTCACCAGTTCTAATCCACCACGCGTCGGCGTGACACGCTATCCATTTCGCGGTCCCTAGGCGTCGAAATCCCGAGCCTGTCCGAGACTCTATACGCTTGCGGGGCATACCGTGTCGCCGGGTCAGCCGCCGCGACACGCTAAGGAAACGTTCATGACCGAAGAAGGTACACACGTGTATTTCGTTCATCTGTATATACTTGCATGCGTGCGTGACTCTCTCGCTCTGTATATATCTGACTATACATATTTATAATACATGGGTGTACACACATATACATGGAGAGAGAGGAAGCACAATATACAGAGTGGGCAAGTTGGGGAGGGAGGGATTGAGCGAGAGTTGGAGAGAAAGAGGAAACATGAAACCGACTAAACAACGCCGCAGGCCGATTCTGATCTTGATAAGAAAGAGCAGCAGGGGTGTTATCAACAGTGTGCTTGGATTCGTTACTCGTTTTTGCTCTTCGCATGCATTTGTTGCTCGGACTGGGCCGGGTCTTGCACATGAACGCCACCGTGTTTCCGAGCTTGCTGCCCACATCGCGTCGGCGTTGGCATCCCCAGGCAGGACCCACCAGCCGAACACCACCCGTTTGCCACCTTTCCTCCCTGGAGATGTAAAAACCGATTAGGAACGCCAGAGCCCCTCCGTCTGACCAGGGGGATCGCTCTCCGAGGGCGCGGGAAGGCGCCCGCCTGCCCGGTCCCCGGGCGCACAGGGGGGATCGCTCTCAGAGGACGTGCGCCAGGGTCGGCTGGTTGGGGGATGCCGTGGCCGACGCCGTGGGGGAGCGCGCCGGTTTTCGGGCCGGCCTGGGGCCCCAGAGGGGCCCCAACTCTTCGTGCTCCCCGCCCTCACCGGTGCGAACAAGCGCCGACGTCGAGATTTTGGGCCTGCGCGCATGGGGTCGGGGGCCTCTTGGCCCTCCCGTGGTGGTCGCGGTGCTTAATCCGGACTCCTTCCAGAGGCCAGGGCTGGGGTTCCGATGCCTCCGACGCTGTGCTGTTCTCAACACGTGGTCCCCCGAGCTTGCGTTCCTTTCCAAGGTGGCACTCGCAGGGGAAGAAATGTGAAACATACATTGTTTCGCCGTCGGGGGCGCCTGCCCCAGGGCGGCTGGGAAGTTGATACGTCTGCGGTGGCACGTCAGGGTATAAACTTAACAGCCGCCCTGGGACAGGTGCCCCTGGTGGCGGAACAGTTTGTGTTATACCGTTCTTCGCCTGTTATGGCCAGTTCTTTCCATCCTGAAGCATTTTCTGACGGTCCACAGGCTCGAGACGGGACCCGAGAGGCCGAAAGTGTGGATAACATGTCAGCTGACGTGGACCTCCAAACATTGAAGTATTGCACTGTAGTTGTGCAAGCTGTGTGGTGCAAACAATGTGGTGGTGCAAGCCAAATGATGCAAGTTACGCGGTGTAAGCTGGGTGCTGCCGGCGGAACCTCGGTGGACCCCGTGAGTGGGCGGCAATGCGTCGGCCACGAGGCGTCCACGGGCGGCGCCGCGGCGAAACCTCGGCGAACTCATCCAACTCCACACTGGCAGAAGTGAGAACCCCTAATTGCAGGCACTGTTTGGGATCCAGTGGTCTATGTCACCGGCGGGGGCGCGAAGATTGTCGAGCTTCGCGCGTCGCGGTCTGGGCCAGCGCGGTTGCGCTTCTGCGCGATGCCGAGAAGATAGTCGCCCGTCGCGCATCGCGAGGCGCGATGCGCGAAGTTGGGTGGCCTGTAAACCGTTCTCTCTCCCTCTCCTCGGAGGCGCGGGCTCAGGCCTTCCCGCCCTGTGGGCCACACGCAGATCAGGGTAGAGGGAGGGGGGAAGGCTTCTCAGAAGGAGGCTTAGGAGGCGCGGGCCTTGTCTGTAGGTGTAGGGCCGGCGCCCTCCGCTCCGGCGCGTTGCCCTGTCTTGTCGGTCTCCGCCTTCTTCTCAGTCGCTTCCATCCCTCACGTCTGAGCAGCTGCGCCACGAGCTCCGCGGCGACCTCAACGTCAGAGGGCTGCGGCCCATCCATGCACGTTCCCTCCGGGGACGCGCTCCGGGGCGCGGTGGAGGCGGCTCGTCCGTTCGCTCGTCCTCCCCCTACCGGAGGGTTCCAACACTAGTTTTTGAAGGGGGGGAGGTCCAGAGAGCCCCCCCAGGGGCCTCAGAACCTCGTCAAGATAGGGGGTGCGAAGCCCCTGGGGCGCCCCTCCTGGAACACCCCCTTCCCCAAAAACCCTCTGCAACCCTCCGGCCCTCCGGCTCTAGAGCTGCCCCCCCTCTGCCCTCTGGTGCGCGCCGCCCCTCCGCGGAGGCGCGGGCTCAGGGCCTCCCCGCTTCGGCCGCACCCGTGCACGCCACCGGGCTAGCGCGCGCGCGTGGCGCGAGGGGCCCGGCCGCCCCCTGCGCGCCCCGCGCCTGGCGCTGCGTCGGGTGCGGCCCCAGGCCTCGTCGGGCGCCGGGCAGCGCCAAAGGTCGGCGGCGAGCGAGGGGTTGGGGGTCGGAGTGAGAGGGAGGAGGCCCTCTCAGAAGGCGGCGGGGCTTCTCAGAAGCCCTGTGGCTTTGTGAGCAGTGCTCGGCATCTTCGGGGAAGGCTCAGGAAACTTTTCAGAAGGCCGGGGGACTTCCGAGCCTTCTGAGAAGGTCCGCCCCCTCTGATTTTCCTTCCGGGCTCGCCGCCGAAAACGGGGTCACCACTACAGGATTCGTTTGGGTCCGATTGGTCCGACTCGACATCGGGTTGCGCTGGCCCGATCCGATTCGATTCCGGTATTCGGACAGTCCGATGCAGTCCGATGTTTGCGTGGCGCTGTCGTGCATCCTGGCGCAGCCGATCCGATTCGATTCCGACTCCGTGCCGATGCAGCCCGAACCGATGCATATTTCGATTCAAGACGATTTGCCGATTCGGTGCAAACTGGTCCTGCCACTAGGGGGTCACCAGTGCTTCCTGAGGATCGAGCTTCCGGGGTCGGAGCTCGAGGAGGTTTTTGGACGTTGAGGTCGTCGGGGAGTGGGCTCCAGGGTGTTTTTCACAACCATCCTGCGGCGTTGGGCCCTCGTGCTGAAGGGATAGCGCCCTGCGCTCTCACTCCTCCTCCGGCTCCTCCCCCTCCTTCCCTCCACCCTCCCGTGCTTCTGCCCTCCGCATGTATCCGTTTCGGCGCACCCTTCACACGCTTCGTGGCCGCATAGGGAGCTTCACCGAAGGCCCCAGTGGCAAAGTTCGCACGGCGGCCCCGCCTCACTTCGGCGCACCCCTCACGCGCTTCGTGGCCCAATAGGGAGCTCCACTGAAGGCCCCATTGGCAAAGTTCGCATGGCGACCCAGCCTAGTTTCAGCGCACCCCTCACGCGCTTCGTGGCCCCATAGGGAGCTCCACTGAAGGCCCCAGTGGCAAAGTTCGCATGGCGGCCCCGCCCCATTTCGGCGCACTCCTCACGCGCTTCGTGGCCCCATAGGGAGCTCCTCCGAAGGCCCCAGTTGCAAAGTTCGCATGGTGGCCCCTCCCCATTTCGGCGCACCCCTCGCGTTTCTTTCCTATGGAGAGCTCCACCGAAGGCCCCAGTGGCAGGGTTCGCATGGCGCCATCGCCCCACTTTGGCACACTCCTCACACGTTTCGTGACCCCACAGGGAGCTCCACTGAAGGCCCCAGCGGCAGGGTTTGCATGGCGGCCCCGCCCAATATCGGCACACCCCTCACACGCTTCGTGGCCCCACAGGGAGCTCCACCGAAGCTGGGGCTCACAACTTCGGTACTCACATTTGTTTTGTTCGGGGTGGGGGTATGTCCTCGAGGAACAGGCTTTTCCTTTCAGAAGTGGCGAACCCCCCTCGTGGTGACCCCCAGTGTCTTTGCCTCGGGTGGGCCGTTTCTTCCGTTTTGCCTCGGTCGGCCCCGGCGGTGGTCGAGGATCGGGGCCAGAGCTGCGCCACGGAGGGGAAGGGGTCTGGAGGGCACTGCGTCCTGGAGGCCCCTCGTCGTCTTCGGGCTCCTGGAGTCCTCTCTGGGCCCAGGGGCAGTCAGGCAGCAGCTCGGGTGGAAGAGCTGATCCCCCAGGGAAAGGCCTCGGGTCGGGCGACGAAACCCATACACATCCACCACCCCCTGGTCGGGGCCCTTCTGGTGCCCAGGAGCTGCGTATACGCCCTCCTGGCCAAGCCAGTAGGGCGTGGCGTATACACACCCCTGCTGTGTTCAGGATGGGCCAGGCCAGGGAGCAGTGGATGTGTATAGATTTCGTCGCCCTGTCGGGGTTCAGGGCCAGTTTCCCTGAGGACTCGTTGGGGCCCTCCCCAGGCCCAGGTGCCATCAGACCGCAGCTCGGGAGGAAGAGCTGGTCCCCGGGGGAAGGCCTCGGGGTTTAGGACCCGTTTCCCGGCTGCGAGCGAGGGGGAGGAAGTGAGAAGTAGGAGGCCTTCTCGGAAGGCAGCGGGGCTTCTCAGAAGCCCTCTGGCTTTCAGAGAAGTGTTCTGTGCCTTCGGGGAAGGCTTCGAAAACTTCTCAGAAGGCCCGACGCCTTCCGAGCCACGCTCCTTCTCACGTCTCCCAGGGCGCGCCGCCGAGTTTCCGCCAGGACCCGTCATGCCAAAATTCTTGATGGGGGAGCGGCGTGAGGGCATTGGCTCGGGGGTGATGGGTGGGGGATGCAGCGACCCGTGATGGGCCGATTGCCCAGCACCACTGCCATAGGCAGGACGGGGGAGAAGGGAGGATGGGGAGGTCCTCCTCCTCCTCCTCCTCCTCCTCCTCCTCCTCCTCCTTCCTCCTACTCTTCCTCCTCGAAGCACCGGGCTACTGGGCGGGGTGGTGTACCCAATCTCCGATCGCCGATACATGGGCGACTGGGTTGTCATGAACCGAGAACCCATCGGGGGGGACCCCTGGGCGATGGCACGCCCGAGCGTCACCGGATGGCCCTTGAACGTGCCACCGCCCACAGGTGGATCCCCCCCAGTGGGTTCTCCGTGGCGGTGGTCCATATGTCTCCCATGAGATGCACCCTCCCCGAGCCTGCAGTCAAGACGCAGAACTAAGGACCGCTATGGGTTCCGACGGGTCTCGCCATTCCTCGGGTCCTTCCGTGGCTGGCCTTCTAGCGCTCCTCGTGCACGCCGGCGTTTCTGCGGCCAAGGAGGGGCTTTGCTCCTTATGTATCGTTCCTTATTTCTGCATCCCGACTGGATCAAGGACCTGGGCTTTCGTCGGTATGTGTGCTTGTTGGCCTTTCGGAGGCCCTCCAGAGGCGTCTCGTGGACACGACGTGGCTGGTCGTCGTCGACCTCCTCGCGGACTGGTTGTTACAATTCTGCTGACGTCTTCCTCCCGCCACTGGTTCTCAGTCTTCCTCGAGCGTACGACTAAATTAGAAGCCCTATGTGGGGAACTACGGTCGCATAATTTCCCAAACCCGCTGGTTTCCCTTTACGGCCTCTTGACATTCTGTTTCGGCCCCTCGGGCCATCCGAGGGGATTCTGAGATGACAAATGACCCTGGGGGATGGGTCGAGAGCTGTGCTGGTCTCAGGCGATTTCTCGCCACCGATCCCCGAGCGAGTTCCTCCAAAAATCAAACAGTTTGTCGGCGGCAAGCCTGGGGGGGAAGTGAGAAGCGGCGGGCCTTCTCAGAAAGCTCGGACGTCCCCCCGCCTTCTGAGGAGTGTTCTAAAGCCTTCCCCGCAGACACCGACAGCTTCTCAGAAGTCGCGAGGGTTTCTGAGAAGTTGCGCCGCCCTCTGAGAATGCCTTCTCCTTGTCACTTTCCCCCCTCGCTCGCCGCCGAGTTTAGAAGGCAGGGGGGATTTCCTTGAGGATGCGCTCCCGCTTCGGACGTATCCCTGTATCCAGAATGGGCGCCCGCCACCCCGTGTGACCCCGAGATGAGCAAAGTGTCGACATGGCCTTCCAAGGCCCTTGCCTCCTCATCGTGCGTCCATAATATACAGGTTGACTGTACCCCCCCCATCTGGGGCCTGCGGGCTTATGGCCAGGAACTTTGGCTTATCGTGCCACGCCGCCAGTTCTGGCCCACCACGCCACGGCGCAATACGCTAATCTGGTCCCCGAGCGTCAACTTCACGGTCTCACAAGCCTCCTGCCCCGCGGAGAGGAGCGACACGCGATTCGCTTGCAGGGCATAGCGTGTCGCCGGGGCCGCCGCGACACGCTGAGCACAAGCTCCCGACCGTAACCTTCACAGGGTGCCGGGGCTTTTCCCGCCGAAGGCAGATATTTTCAGAGTGCTCGATGCGTCTGCGGCTGCCGCGATGCATGCGTGCCTGGGGATAAGGGGACGTCGTGTCTCGTAGGGCAAGCTCCGACTCCCCACCCTGGACGTGCGATGCTTCCGCAGCGCACGGACAGCTGCAGGGACTTCTGAGCCTGCCTCTGGCCCACCCCGCAGCACTTCACGCCCCGAGGGCGCCCTGGCCGACCGCAGCCCTCCCTTCGCGGGCGAAGAACGGTGTAACATAACCTTTGCCGTCACCGGGGGCGCTGCCCCAGGGCGGCTGGAAAGTTTATACCTTGGCGTGCCGCCGCAGGGATTTCGACTGTCCAGCCGCCCGGACAGGTGCCCCCGACAGCGGAACAGTTTATTCTATACCGCTCTTCGCCCGTTAACGCAGCCCTCCCCCCCTCCCAACTCCCCTCCCCGCCCGTGTGCCCAATTTCGGACGGGGCTAGGACAACAATAAGTCCGTTCCGTAGCGTTCCAGAGCGCTCTCAGAGCGTTCTGGAGCGCTCTGAGAAGGCCGCGACGTCCGATACATCCTCCAGGGCCGCTGGGTCTCAGAGATTCTTGATGCATCCTTGCCTGCATCTATCCTCGCCCCGGCTTCGTGGTATAAAAAACGCACCGCAACAACCCTGCCGTAGCCACCGACCGCAGCTTGGATCCAAGACGCCGCCGATCAGCAATCGGCGGCGAGCCGAGGGGAAGGTGAGCAGGGGCGGGCCGTCTCAGATAGCTCGGAAGTCCTCCGGCCTGCTGCAACGTTTGCGAAAGCCTTCCCTGAAGACGCCTACCACTTCTCAGAACGCGCGACGGCTTCCGAGAAGTCCCGACGCCTTCTGAGAAGCCCTTCTCGTTCTCACTCCGCCCCCTCGCTCGCCGCCGAAGCAAACCGTGCTTCGAAGGACAGCAGGAAGTAGCTCCCGACAGCAGCGCTTAGGCACTCGCGCCCTGGGAGGCCTGGGGCCTCGGAGACGCGCCCTCTTAGCGGGATGGCGGCGCCGGGGGGGCCGCCCGTCTGCGCCACGCGCGAGCCCTTTGGGCCCGCGGCCTTCGCCGCGGTGAACGCGCGGGGGCAGGCCTCGAGGAGCAAAAGCGAGTAGACCTCAGAGGAAGGAAAGGGTACCCATGCCCCAACCGTTTCCTCGTTTTCCCCCTTTTGGGTCTCCTGGGAGGCCATCGTCGCCACCGCTGGATTCCCTTCGAAAGCTTGGTCAGAGCGCACGGTGGGAGAGGTCCGGGGAGTAACCGGCGGTATCGGTACCTTTGGGCTTCTCCAGTACCCAGCAGTCGGTGAGGGTATGCAGTTTAGGATCCCTGGACTCCGGCCTGCTCCAAGGGTTGGGCGTGTTTCCCTCTTCCTTCGTCTTTCGGGGGCGGACGGAGATCCATTCTACTTCCATTGCCTTCCTGCGTGATGCTTTTACCCACTTCTTCCGAGAGGTGGGTAAACGTACACCATTGGAGGTTTACGCAGATTTTGTTGATCGGCCTTGGACGCTGCAGCGTTTCAGTTTGGCTGGGTCCGAGGCTCGAATCTGGGAATGTTGTTTGTTTCTGGAGTGTTAGGGCAGCCTGGCTGTGCGCTGTTGGGTGTCCTTGGTTCCGACTCCAGGCTCGGGAGCTGGACCCCCGGCTCCAGAATGCTTCCGTTTCGTCTGCAGGTTCCCGCGCTGGGACTCCCTGTTCTGGCGCGTGGAGCGCGCCAGGGGCGGCGTCCGAGCGCGCCGTCTGGGGGGCCCAGGCGTCCGCTCGAGTTAGGAAACGCGCGCGTGTGTGTGTGTGTGTATGTGTCGGTAGGTGGGTGTGTGTGCGTGTGTGTGTGTGTGTGTGTGTGTATGTGTATGTGTGTGTATGTATGTGCGTATGTGCGTATGTATGTATGTACGTATGTATGTATGTATGTTTGTATGTATGTATATATGTATATATGTATGTATGAATATATATATATATATATATATATATATATATATGTTTGTATGTATGCATGTATGTATGTGTATATATGTATGTTTGTGCCTATGTATGTATGTATGTATGTATGTATGTAGGTAGGTAGGTCGGTAGGTAGGTAAGTAGGTACGTATGTATGTATGTAGATAGGTATGTATGTATGTATGCATGTATGTATGTATGTATGTATGTATGTATGTATGTATGTATGTGTGCATGTGCGTATGCGTGTATGTGTGTATGCATGTATGCATGTATGTATGTATGTATGTATGCATGCATGCATGCATGTATGTATGTATGTATGCATGTATGTATGCATGTATGTATGCATACATGTATGCATATGTGTGTATGTATGTGTATGCATGTATGTATGTATGTATGTATGTATGTATGCATGTATGTATGTATGTATGTATATGCACATGTATGTCTGTATTTATGCGTGTGTACGTATGTGTGTTTGTATGTACGTATGCATATGCATGTATGCATGTACGCATGCATGCATGCATGTATGTATGCATGGATGTATGTATATCCATGTGTATATGTGTATGTATGTATGCATGCGTGTGTGCATGTATGTATGTATGTGTGCATGTATGTGTGTATGTGTGCATGTGTGTACGTCTGTATGTATCTATGTCTGTATGTATATGTGTATGTATGTATGTATGCATGTATGGATGTAGGTATGTGTACATGTATGTATGTATGCATGTATGCAAGTATGTATGTATGCTGTTCGGTATGTATGTATGTGTATGTATGTATGTATGTATGTATACATGTATGCATTTATGCATTTATGTATGTCTGTATGTCGGCATGTATGTATGTATGTATGTACGTACGTACGTGTGTATGTATGTATGTATGTATGCATGCATGTATGTATGTATATAGGTATGCATGCATGTATGTATACATGCATGCATGCATGTCTGTATGTATGTATGTATGTAGGTACGTAGGTACGTACGTACGTACGTATGTATGTATGTATGTATGCATGCATGCATGCATGCATGCATGTATGTATGTATGTATGTATGTACGTACACATGTATATATGCGCGTGTGTGTATGTATGTGTGTTGAAGGCTGACAGGCGGAGATGGAGGGGGACAGGCGCCGGCCTCGGCGTCGACAGGAGCAACGCTGGGCGGTTGGCCTGCAGCCGACTACGTTCCGCCCGGCTTCATGCAGAGGTTTCGGCATCCACTTTGAGAGCGAGGAGCTGCGATTGGCCCCGTTGGGCGATCGGGATCGAGGGATGTGGAAATGCCCTTCATGTGCCGCTCCGCTCGTTCAGAATGCAGATCGTTTTTCCATGTGTGGGAACGCTACGGAGAAGCACGTGCAAGCAGCGCGAGCGGCTTTGGCTCGGTCGGCAGCGCCACGTTTGCAGCGGCAGCCGCGGGAGGGAAAGACAAACGCCCCGCTGCCGCCGCCAGTTCACCACGACTGGGACAACGATGTGCTCCCGCAGCGTGGATGGTGGGAGCGCCTCCCATGGTCGGCGGTCGTCCGTGTCGGCACGCCGTCGTTTGTTCAAGTGCCAGATCGGTTCCGCGGCGCATTCGTGACAGTGCGCCTGAATTTGCTGGGAGCACTGGCGGCCTTGACTAACAGGGGGCGTTCCGAGCAGGAATGGAAGGCGCTGCTCCTTTTCGACGAGCTGTTCACTGCCAGGCCTGCCGGCCAGGCCACCAACGCCGAGGCTTTGGAAGAACGCCTGGCGTGGTGGTGGGGGGCCAGTGGGGCGTGCTGTGGGGAGACGCTGCGGGGCGGCGAGAGCAAACGGAGGAGCAGGAGACGAAGGCGTGGCGGGTCCACACCCTGGCCGCGGCCGGCGGAGAAGGACGGGCGCTCGGGGCCGCGCGGGGCACCCCGCTCGCTCCGCGCAGCTGCGGCACGCTGGACAAGCTGCGCGCTGCCTTCCCCCCGTTCCGGCGGCAGGCGGCATTGCCCCGCCCGCGGGCCGTTGCGGGACCGCCCCCGACCCAGACCTGTGGGACGAGGTGGAGGAGAAGGTCAGCAAGCTCCTCCGCAGGTCGCCCTCGCTGGCCGCGCCAAGCTTGCTCGGGGCCCGTATGGGCCACCTCTGCACGGCGGCGGACGACCCAGAGGCGCTTACGTTGCTAACCCAGGCGGTCACGAAACCCACCTTCGGGGAAGTGCCGGCGCCGGTGCTCCAAGCCCTCCGGGTGGGCGAGGTGGTGGCCTTGGACAGGGGGGATGGGGATGTCCGCCCGCTGCTCGTGGGGGCCAGCCTCAGGAGACTCGGGATGCCAGCGCTGCCGCGGGTCAAGAAACAAGGCACCGCCAGGCCGCGGGCCCTCACCGGTGCGGAGTTAAGCTGCGGGTCCGACGTGCTGGTCAAGCAGCAGCAGGCCCAGTCCGACGCCCGCCCAGGGATGGTGTTCACAGAGGTGGACATCAAGGCGGCGTTTCCCCGCTTGCTGCGAGACCCCGCAATCGGGGCCATGGCAGTGCACGTGCTGGAGGTCGCGTGGTTGCTTGACAAGAAGTACCCTGGGTCTGCCAAACATCTTTGGAGGGGCGCGGCGGGCATCTTCGAGAAGGTCGAGAGCACCTTCGACTTCGACCAGGGGGGCCCCCTGGCGCTGGCTGCCTACATACGCGATTGGCCAGAGGGAGGCGATCTCCCAGCTGCTGGAGGAGTTATGCGACTCCTACGCGACGAGCCGCGTTGCCGTGGACCTCGGCACCGACTCGCTGCGCGAGCTCCAGGACGCGGCGCCGCGACTCGGCGAGGCCCTCTCCGACGCGCGGACGGAGCTGTCCCCCGGGGCGCGGTCCCCACATCCGGCGCTTCCTTGCTCGACGCCCTGCAGCACCCGGCGAAACAGACCCCTCTCGTGAATGCTGGGCAAAAGAAAACCCACGCTGCCCTGTAGCAGCGCTTGCACAGCCGCGAGCGGGCGACCTCCTGGGGGCCGGAGGGTCAGGGGCCGCGGAGTTCCTCGGCGAGTTGCTCGAGCGATCCCGCTTGTTCGATGGAGGACGCACTCTGGGCCACGGGGCTTCGTGCACGCACGCGCGAATTTGCCCGGGCCTGCATGCGCGCAGGCAGAGTTCCAGACGGCCGCGCAGACCCGCCAGAACCGCCCTGTCGCCCAGGGGGCCCGCGGCGCGCCTTGTGGACAGCCGCTGGGCGAGCGAGGCACGCGCGTGGCCAACTGCGCACTGGGCGGCGGCGTAAAGCGCCGCCACGGCAGCCTCGAGAACGCCGTGGCCGGCCAGGTCCGCCGCTGGCTGCACCAAGAGCCGCTGACGGAGCAACGGGTGCTGGCTCGGGGTCGCGGCCGCAGCCGGCGGCTGGTGGACCCGCCGGACGCGGACCTCCTCGAGCGCGCGGTTCTCGACGTCGAGTGCAACGACAGGGTTGGCCGCCCCTGGCAGCCGAGGGCGTGGTGCAGGCGGCGGCTCGCCAGCCCGGCGTGGCCGCCAGGCTGGCCCTTCGCAAGAGACGCGCCAGGTACCCGGGGGATCGCCTGACGCCGTTCGTGGTGGAGACCCTGGGTTCCCTCGGCGGGGAAGCCAGACAGTGGCTTCCTCGGCAGGCCCTGGCGACCGCCAGCTCGACGGGCTCACGAGGGCGGGTCGCGAGCTGCGCAGTCCAGACCCAACTGGCCCTGCAGCGGCGCCGCCGGGCGGCAGGCCTGACCTGACTGCCCTAGCCCCGCGGGCGCACCCGCTCGCCTTTTGGTCTCCTCCTCCTCCTCCTCCTCCTCCTCCTCGTCCTCGCCTCCTCTGGCCGCCGCTTCGCCTTCCTCCTCCTGCCCTTTTTCTGGCCGCCGCTTCGCCTCGCCTCCTTTCCCTCCTTACCCTCTCCTTCCCCGCTCCTTGCCTCAGGCAGGTTCGCGTGCGCCCAACGGAGGAGTGGGGTGGCCAAGACTCCCCGGCGGCGCGCACCCCCCGCGCCCCCGTGCCAGCGCCAGCGACCGACTCCGAGGGGAGGCGGCGCGCCTCGCCGGCGCGAGCCGTCCGACAGGTTTGCTGCCGAGGCGTGGTTCGACCGAACTTGAACCCCAACGCCCGGGGGCCCCCCTGTGCGATGGGGGCGGGGGCCCATTCGGGCGCCCCCGGGCCGAGCAGGAGGAGGAGGAGGAGGAGGAGGAAGTGGAGGAGGAGGAGGAGGAGGAGGAGGAGGAGGAGGAGGAGGAGGAGGAGGAGGAGGATAATCAGGACGAGGAGGAGGAAGACGAGGAGGAGGAGGAGGAGGAGGAAGGGGAGGAGGAGGAGGGGGAGGGGGAGGAGGACAAGCTATGTGCGCTCGCGTCATATCTGACTTCCTGCCCCTCCCTCCCATTCCTTACCATGGCGTAGATCCCCTCTCGACTCGCGCAGTCGGATGTCGAGCAGGGCAATGATCCCGAAAGGGTACGCGATGCATTGTAGAGCACGGCGTGGCACGGCGTAGAAGAGCACCGCGAAGCGTAGTATGTCACAGCATGGCGTGGCGTGGCGTAGTGAAGAATTGCATCACAAAGCCTTGCAACGCAAAGCATGGCATCGCACAGCGGCCCCGACATAACATTGCATAGCATTGCGTTGAAGATCAATACGTGGCATGGCATAGCACGACGTGGCACTTAAGCACTGCATATCACAGCCTCAGCTGAAGGCGTGGCATCGCGCAGCGGAGCGCAACCTAGCATTGCATTGCATGGCGTGGCATGGCACGGGAAATGACGCCAGCGCTGCAGCGGGAGCACGATTCGGAACGAGCGGAAACGCGGAAATGAGGCCAGCGCTGCAGCGGGAGCACGATTCGGAACGAGCGGAAGCACGGACATGAGGCCAGCGCCTCAGCGAGAGCAGCATTTTGGAAAACATGGCGGCGAAAACCCAACTCCGGGGAATCCTGTGAGTAAAAACGCAATGCGCGGGGGGAGGGGGGGGAACACTCCCAACCTGTCATCAGGGGCAGGAGGAGAGTAGTATTCATATTGAGGAATTGTGGAGGAGGAGGAGGAGGTGGAGGAGAAGAAGAAGGTGTTTGCAGCCTCCCGCCTAGAGCATGCCAGCTTCGGCGGCCGAGAGACCCCTGGCGGCCTCACTGCCCGTTCCCGTCGCAACCACGTTTTAGCTGCATCGTCTCATGTCAGGAGGGGAAACATCACAGACACAATTCATCGTCGATCGTGAAAATATAAGAAGTGTTTGGAAGTGTGTGGGGGGGAAAGACAAACACCTAGAACATATAGGGGGAGATTGCGGGGATCCGGGGATTTGTGTCTTTTTGTTTGTCTGTTCCTGGGCCCCTCTGTCTTAACAGTGTCGACTCGTGTCGGCGGCGAGCGACGGAGGGGGGGTGGGAAGGGCGGGCGTCCTCAGGAGGCGGAATCACATGCTTTGGCCGTGCCGCCTCATGCTCTTGTGAGGTCGTCACCTGGGGCGACGCGTCCTGCGGCGGCGACAGCAGCGCCGTGCGCGCCCAGCTGTCGGACGGCGGCGGCGTGCGGCGCCTCTGCGCGAGCGGCCAGGCCTTCGCCGCGCTGCGCGCCGACGGCTCGGTGGTCGCCTGGGGCGCGGCCGGGGCTGGCGGAAGCACTCTGGCCGCCAAGGCTCGCCGTGGTGGAAGCGGGTCCTCGGGGAAACGGACCTCGAGGTTTTTCGCAGTTGTTTGGCTTCCCAGGGCCCTGGGCGGGCCCCAGGACTGTCAGGAAACGATTCGGGATGAAGAGCTCGTCCTGGGGCAGGGCCTCCTGGGGGACGGCTCCGCAGGATCCGTTTCCCCCATGCTAAAAAAAGGCCCGGCTGGCGGGCGGGGTGAGGCACATCCCGAGGGGCAAGAGGACGGCACGGGCAGAAACTGTCGGAGCTCCGCGCCCAGGGAGCCGAGGCTCTGACAGGAGTTGGAGCGGCGGGTTTTGGGCCGTTTGCGGCCTCGGGGGGCCTGCAACGGGCCCGGGACCGTCTAAAACTGCTCAGGATGAACAGCCGGCCCACGGAAGTTGTCAAGCATTCTTAGGGCCCCAGTATCGAACAAATATCGAGTGCTGGATGTCCGTGCGCGGGTTTACTGGATCGGCTGTCGGCGGCAGGCCTTCAGAAGGCGGCTGGGCTTCTCAGAAGCCCCCCCGCCCTCTGAGAAGCCGTCTCTGTCCTCGGAGAAGGTCTGGACAAGTTCTCAAAAGGCGCGAGGGCGTCTGAGAAACCCCGCCGCCTTTTAGAAGGCTTGCCCCCTCTCACTTTCCCCTTGGGCTCGCCGCTGACCGACATGAACCGTCGGTGGTTCGCGCGGAGGATCTCCTGGATCGGCGCTGGGCTGCCCTGGCGACGCCTCCGCGCGCCAGGGCGGGGCACGCCCGGCGCCGACCGGGGAAACCCCTTCCCGCGGAGATCCAGGTCCTGCCTGTGCCGCTGTTTGCTCCTCGGAGCATCTGCCCGAGCAGCAGGGCCTTCGCCGCCCTGAAGGAGGACGGCTCGGTGGTGACGTGGGGCGGCCTGCGCTGGGGCGGCAAGAGCGACAGCGTCCGGGGCGCCCTGCAGGGCGGCGTGGCCGAGCTCTGTGCCACAGACGGGGCCTTCGCAGCCCTGAAGGCCGACGGTTCGGTCGTGGCCTGGGGCGCGGAGGGCTTCGGGGGCGCGCCGGCGCAGGCGGGCGCCCTGCTGTCCGCGGGCGTCGCGCGCGTGGTCGCCGGCTACGCGGCCTTCGTGGCCCTGAGGGCGGACGGGTCGCTTGTCGCCTGGGGCGACGCCCGCTATGGCGGCCGCGTGGACGCCGTCCGGGAGCAGGTGGCGGGCGGCGTGCAGCGCGTGTGGGCCGCGGACAGGGCGTTTGCCGCGCTGAAGGAGGACGGCTCCGTGGTGTGCTGGGGTTCGACAGACTTTGGCGGCAGCATCGCCGCCGTTCGCGACCAGCTCTCCCGAGGGGTCCAGGCCGTCTTTCCAG